GTGACAAGAGCCAAATCCGGCACTACAACGACCAAGCAACGATGGGACCAATGCTCATCCTGCCACCATCGTACGAGGCGGACTTGGTCACCTGGATCTTAGCTGAGCAACAAGATGGTCATCCTGTTGGACGCCAATCCGTCATGCACAAAGCCAGCCGTACAGGGAACGACGCTGAATAAGTCCCCGACAAAAAACTGGAATATTTGTTTGGATTATCCAAACAAATGTGATTAAATCAAATGGATGAATTCTATTCATTAAACATACTCCAGGCAATTTGAAATGAATTTTCAATTTTAATGATTAATAACCCGCAAGAACATTGCGTCACGTCAACCCCAATAAATAAGTATGATTCATTTTTGAATCATAACCTTGCAGAATCTATATTCAGAGTTCACAATTTTAATTTGATTTTGTTGAAACCTCCAAAGTTCGGTGTCCCGATTGGACAATACTCTCATGCCCTCGGACCAATCACAGATAGGTGTAGCGGTCTTATTCAGCGTCATTCCCTGTACCAGCTATCATCTGGGTAGTATGTGCGTTTCATGTCTCGTCATTCTGAGTTGAAGATTGCGAAGTCTCATGTCCTGGGCAAGGTGCAGTAGCGTTGATGTGGATACAATTGTCGACTTCTACCACGAGATCGTGCATTCCATGTCCCTACCGTAGTTGACGTACATCTGCACCATGGATTTTTCGTCGTTCTTCTGCACCATGGGGCTAAAAATTTACTATACATGAAAAATCAGAAGTTTGTCGTTGAAATATACCATGAGCACAGGTATTGGATAAAAAATCACCAATGAATTTATTCTGAATTCATTGGTCAAGTTCTTTCCACGGCATGGAACCAAGAGTCGTCGATGTCGTTGGACTCTGCTCTGGCGCATGCACTCGTTCGTGCACATCGCACGAGGTTTGTGGTGATGCAGTTCAAGAAAATGACGTTTTGCTGTTCAATGTGGAGGTTGTGTACTCGAAGCCTCCTCCTGGTGCGGAAAGTGACCAAGATTACCAAGCCACAACCGTCGAGGAGGTTATCAAGGCCTACCGACTGTGCGGGGCTGAACGGCGTTGCCACGTGGCGTACCTACCACGTCGGCTTCTTAATCGATAGGGGAATTTCGACAACAAGACCGCGATTGTGGTTGAAGATTTGCGAATCTCTTCAAGTATAGCAAAACGCGATCGGTAAACAAGGAACATGGGTATCGTAAAAGCTATTCTTATGCAACATATTGAAGGATTTCATGCAAATAACTAAAGTGAACATGAAATTTGTATTATTCTCTTACTTCACATAGCCACATTTACGCCAAGCATTCATGATAATGTCGCGGGAAATATTTTTCCAGGCATCAGAGACCCATTGCAACACAAGTTCCCTCGACGGCGTTGGTACAACAGAGTGCCTATGCATATTTTCGGATGCCCACATCATGTACAAATGTCGCATGCGATCTTTGAACGGCTTGTTGATGCCAACATCAAAGGGCTGCAGCACGCAGGTAAATGCTCCTAAATTATCTTGTTAGAGCATAACGCACATGCATAGGAGAATTATCTGGAATGATTTCGAGTTCTGCTCCAGTTCCTGCAACCTTGTTTGCAAACTTTGCTTGTTTGTGGTACTTGTAGTCGTCCAAGAGTAGGAACGACAACGGTTTGTTCTCAGCAAACTTGCACCATACATTCTTGATCCAAAGCGCGGTCGAGGTTTCGTCCATCCAAGCTGACTCCTGACACGTACCAAGTATACCCTCCGGTAGGATAGATGGCAGACTCGACTCGATACGCGCTCCTGGTACGTCTTTGAACACAACAAATGGGGGCAGTTTCTCACCAGTGGCTGTCACAGAAAGACACACTGATACCCGTGGGTTCGTCGGCGAGCACTTCCGCACATTTACGGTCTTGGACCCCTTTCGCGCAATTGTTGTGTGCACTTCGGGCTCGAAGTACATGGGGATCTCATTGTGTTCACAATGCAGGCCGGGTCGAGGCCTTCCAACGTCCCGTAAGGCTCAATTCGCTCGCAGACCGAAGTAATGAAGTCGGTGCGCGCCTCTTCGAGCGTATTCGACATTTTTTGCCCCTTGCGGGTTGGACGGCGAATGCTAAGCGAGTGTCGGCGGAGGAATTGGTAGACCCACGAGGTAAGAGCCTTTGTTTCGCGCCATGAAATGTTGGGTCGAGTGCTTGCGGGCCTTTAGTATGAGCATCTTTGTGCTGATGGCAATGTCGTTATCTCGTAGGTGCTCATAGTACTCAAGAACTTGGTCCTCAACATCAGGTCTTGCCACGTCTTTGCCTCTGTGGATTGTGGCGAGGGACAGTGACCTCGCGACGACCTCCTTCAGCTTGCCGTGGGCTGCGATCCATCGATGAATTTGATTCCCTTGGACTTCGTGCTTCTTCGCAAGAAAGTTAACACTCGTGCCATCGCGGAGGTACTCCTTGACAATCTCCAGTTTCTTCTTCGCAGTTAGCATGAGTCGTGCGCGGCGAATGCGTGCCGTGCCACGTTGAAAAGTGACTGAGAAACGTGGCGCTGGAAAGGAGGCGGGAAGTTTGTTTTCAAAAGTATTCAATTCATTTTATCCTATCACAGCAGATTTCGATCGTAAAGCTGATGACGTCACAAATTTCATTTTGTCGTTGTTCTGCACTAAAAATCTGATCAAACACCCATCATTTTGCATGGTGCAGGACACAAGTAATACGGTAGTCGCTTTTGAACCCTCACGCGTGTAAAGCATGGATGAGGCCAGCTTCAGTTCAAGCAAGATGCCAAGAAAGGTAGTTGTGCATCGAAACTCAGCCAAGATGCAGTGGAAGGGGCGTAGACATCAGCACATGTCACGATTGTGGCATGTATCTGCGCAGATGGCACCAAAATTCCACCGCTTTTTGTGCTTCCTGGTTCCCTCGAGACAACTGGAGCCTGTGACCTCCTCAGCATCCCTGGCGAAGCCGTTACAGCATCTGAGATGGGATGGACGAACTCATCTGCAGGAAGTGGCTGCCCATGCTGAATTCAGCAATCCCGGCGTCAACAAGGCCGACTCTTCTCGTGCTAGACGGTTGTTCATCGCACAACTCCAAATACATCTGAAGCTACAATGGCAATGAGCTTTCTGCTCATGTTTTTGCCAGCCAACTCCACTCTCATCTTCCAGCCATTGGATGTCACGGTTTTTCGACCTTTCAAGCAAGCAATCCGCCGCGAAATCACCGATGACACTTGGGGTGATATTTCGACGAATATCAGCAAGCACAAGGCAATGTAAGTTCTGAGGAGCACAAATGTGTCGACTCGATTATTGTGTGAAACGGAGAATGAAACATAATTGTTGTTGTACTTTGGTCTAGCAACCTAGTGGTGCAACAAGTAAAATTCAAAGATAAAAAGATTTTCCTCTGAGAGTTTATCATTGACATTCAGGTATAATATTCATCAACACGGGGGATTAGTTCCTGCACCTTCCGCTTGCGAAGCGGGAGCTATGCAACGTGAACTACACAATCTTGGCGGCGCAATATAGCTTATTGTTCAATCACGGTGAATTTGACATTTAATCCCTATTCCTAGTTTACTACAGTATATATAA